GAAGTTCTAATGTGTATCTCCTTTCTGCCCAGAGGGAGCTGGAAGTTAAGCCAGGCCTGGAAGGATGGAAAGAACTGTTATTAAAATATATAGAGAAATGGGGCCCTCCCTGGTGGCGCAGCGGGTTGGAGCACTGCACTGAGAGGCTGGAGCCACTTTCGCATGGGTTCGATTCCCGCCTGCCCCGGAGGTGACCACATGGTGTGGCAGACCTCTCCTGACCAGCCCGCTGCTCCCCTCAGCAGTGTGCTTTGTTGATCTGCCTGTTCTGCTCCCCACTCTGTCTCTGGTGAGGCCTCTCGCCGCCCCTGAGCCTCTGGCCTGTGCCCCGGTTCTGTATGTACAAATAAATAAATCTTTAAAAAAAAAAAGAGAGAGAGAGAAATGAAGATGGTGGGAGGATGAGCAGCATCGCAGAAGCTGTGTTCACTAGCTGAATTCCAGAAAGCACTTAGTCTGAGTGGTACAAAGGGAGTAGTTCTTTACTACTTACTAAAGTAACTATGCAATTTCAATTATATCATTCATAAATGTGGCTGTGCATTTAAAAAATGCTAACCGTTTCTTAGATAATGGGTAAGCACAGTTGGAAACTAATAGTTCTCCAGCTCTCCTCAGAGCCTCATGAAAGGTAAGGCCATAGTCTCTCTTGAAAGAACACTCAATGTAGAGTCAGGCTAGCTGGCCCACTATCCATTGACCTCAAGTATATCTTTTTCCCTCTGTGAACCTAGCTGTCTTATCCAGTAAAATAAAGATGCTGGTCTAGGGAAAAGGATCACAAAGCCAAGTAGGTTACCCATTCTACAGAGGAACACAGCACAGATCCCATAAGCTAGAACTGTAATCACTAACGTGGGGAATCTTTGCACATCCTTTGCACATATCCACAATGAACTTCAGAGTTCACTAGAAAGGGTAGGAGTGAGCAGGAAACAACAAATAAGAAAGTTAAGGATGTAAGGAAGGGTAAGTCCTCACAATAAGTCAGTAGGTTTTGGAAACAGGGAAGGAAGCAGGTCCTCTAATGACACCATTAGATGTGTGCTGATAGTAATGCCATATAATTATATATGACCTTGATATAAGAAGCTTCATCGTGAAGAACTATACAAAATGGACAAGAACAGGTAAGGTGCCAGAAAAGAGAGCAGTTGATGGGTAATGTGGCTAAAGCCTGAGATGGGAAATTCCTCCAGTGGTCTCCGAGTAAGCTCTACACAGCAAGACTGAAGCTGCTCTCCATAGAGCTTTACATTCCAGTTCCTCAGCAAGCGTACCACTGATGGATGAACAGTGGAGATGAGGTCAAGAGGGTCTTAGGCCCCTTGCAGAAACCTCAATTCAACCATTATCCACAGGGAAAAAAACAAAAGCCTTTGTTACAATCACTGAAGCCAGAAGTGAAGGTGATAGCACTATAGTAGAGCACAAAAGCTGAGGAAAGCCACACCAAAAAGAGGTCAGAGCAAAGGTTTCGCTTTATCCCTTTAAGTGAACATTTTAATGTACCTTAAGACACTGGTAAACAGAACAGACATGACAATACTGTGTGTGTTCGAAGCATTAGTTTCTTAAGTGATAAGCAGACACATTATGCACATCCTATTGCGAAATTTTTTCAATGTTTGGGAAACCTCAAAAATGGAAATGAAATGCTATATACCTAATGCCTCACGCCAATGTTACTTCAACAACAACAACAAATCTTTTTAAATAAAGAGGCTCATGTTTCTCTGGTGCTGAGTTTATTTCAGGCATCTAGCTGCTAGCTGGTGAGGTCCTGGCAAAGCAAAGCAAAGCAAAGCAAGGGAGAACTGTGGCCACATAACACAGGAGACCAGGGACACTTGGCAGCTACAGAAGAAAGGCAGTCCAGAATGATTCTGCAATTTCCAGGCCTGGTCATCTGAAGGACAATGGTGTTATTAATAAAGGAGGAAGTCAAGAGAGAAGTAGCCTGGTGGGGAGGAAATTAAGTCCTCTTCCGAGTTTGAAGAAGCTGTATTCTTCATATTTACATAACTATTCTTTATATCTACTTGGCTTCTATGGGTCAAAGAAACCCCACTGATACCTGTAACTAGCAGCTTCTGAACTGCAGTGAAATGCAATGAAGAACCTCAGCTACAGGCTGGGCTCTGGAGCATGGAAAAATTCATAGGTCAGAGAATGCAGCACTCAGGAAAATCTCAAATCCCTTTAGATAACCGAGTCATTTCACACAGACTGCCTTTGAAACTGCTCTCTGAGCTTAGCTCACTGCAGATATTATCACAATGGAGTTGCTGATGCCCAACAGAAAAGCATCTGCAGAAAAGAGAAAGAGGGTAGGGACTTTGTGTATTATGACCAGATTTACCTTGGGTCGTCCTCAATCTAATTCCCACTTTTTAAGACCAAGGGTACCCACTGTCCCCCGTTTCCCCCCCCCCCACACACACACACACACCCCTGCCTGGAGGGAGGGAAGAAGGAAGAGAGAGGAAAGATAATGCATAACACCAGAATGTGATCAGGGCTAAAAAGGAGAAATTTCAGCTCACCCCAGTTAGTCAACTGGTGATTCTTCCAGGCGAAGAATCTGAGGCACACAAGTCCTTAGGGGCAGATACCACCGGGGAGCACATCAAGAGTTATGCTCTCTTTGCTGATTCTACAGCAAAGCCCCTCCTCTTCACCTCTCTGCTAGTTACTATTTGCTTTCCTTGCTCAATGGAAAGAGAAGCCTGGAGGTAGCCAGGAGGCTTATTCTTGCTCCAAGCATGTTTTTACTGGGGATCCCTGCATCTCTGAACAACAATTCACATCACTAATTGTATTAATCAATTAAACAGCTTTTCAGAGAAATAATACCAATGTATTTTTCTTCATAGGGGATCTGAAATCAGTGCACAGGGTTTTTTATTTTTAAAAAAAAAAAAAAAAGGGAGGCCCTCCCTGGTGGCGCAACGGGTTAAAGCACTGCACTAAGAAGCTTAAGCCACTTCTGCATGAGTTCAATCCCCGCCTGCCCCGGAGGAGATCGACATGGCCCGGCAGACCTCTCCTGACAGCCTGCTGTTCCCCTCAGCAGTGAACTTTGTCGATCTGCCTGTTCTGCTCCCCACTCTGTCCCTGGTGAATCCTCTCACCCTCCGCATCTCTGGCCTGTATCCCAATTCTGTATGAATAAACAAATAAATCTTTAAAAAAAAAAAAAAAGGGAAAGGAAACCAAGATCATATGTTCACTCTGCAATAAAATATGCTGGCATGTTTTCAGGAGAAAAAATAGAAGCCCTTCACTGTTACTCACTACTGGTTTCGTAATATGGTTACAACAAGGAAGCTAAAGAGCACGTATCTATAAATTGTAAAAATCTTAAGTTATAAATTAAATTTCAAAAAAGTACATTGGCTGCCTAGGTCATTTAAGCATGTTAAAGGCCTTTTTGTAATTGGAATTTCTGGGAGAAAAAATGATAAATCAGATTATACTAAAGTAAAAGTATAAGGATACAAATGATACAAAGTTTGCCTTAAATAACAATTTGGGGAGGGACTGAGGCAAGGAAGGTTCTTCTGCTCATATAAAATTGACTGAAAAAGAGATAGCTATGCAATCTCAATTTCCCAAATAAAGTTTCTAGAAACAGCAAATGTTACAGAATAAGCAAAACATGGAGAGAAGACTGAATAAGGATCAGATTCTTATTCTGATATCAGTTTAACACTGTTAAGTAGCTATAAAAAAAATTCCCTACTGTGCATCAGAAGCCACAGTTTTGTTTGAATTATGACAAAGATAGAAATAAATCATTTTTAAAACATAAATATATATAATAGTTTAAGACAAAGGTATAAATACCTTATATATTCCTAATAAGAGTTATTTCCAGAACAAGACCATGTGGAAAGCAGCTCAACAATTTAACAGTATTGTCAAAATATTGATCTAAATCTAAATATTGATCTGATCTATAATTCTATTTCTGAAAATGTTTTATATAAACAAACTTGAATACACACAAGGTTATTTGTAGCAGCAATATCTTCTGGCATAAGACGGGAAATAACCCAAATTCCCATTAATTGGACACTTATTTAAGAAATCATGATGCAGCTACATAGGGGACACTGTCTATAGAAATGAACACTGAAGTTCTCAATATAGTATGTGGAAAAAAATCCCCAAAGTGTTTTGGAAGGAGGGAATAATTAATATTATATGAATACAGAATGAGTATTAGCAGGGAAGCAGGGAAACATTAATAATCTATATTTGTATTTATTACTACAATTTTTTAAAAAATAATTAGTTATGGAAATGGAGAATGGAATGGGAGTGAGGAAACTTCACAATCTATCTTTCTATTCTCTTTGATTTTAGAATTATGTGAATACACAACCTATTCAAAAAATTAAATGATTTTCAAGTAGCAAAAGCAATCTAAGATTCAAAATATTTCATTAAATAATCTACTTCCTTTAATAAAGAAAGCAGATATTTTAGCATAAATTAAAACAAACTTGACCTTTGAACCTTTAAGCAAAGGATGCAATTAGAGTATTCTAACCCTTAAACTTCTTTAAAAGAAGTATTTGTATATGCCTTGCATAAGTATAGCACAGTGAGTGCTTTGATCTAAAAATATTTTCAGTATTTTCTTTTAAAGGTTTATTTATTTATTTAACACTGGGGTACAGTGTTCTGCTTCACCAGAAACAGAGTGGGGATAAGAACAGACAGATCTTCCGAAATATACTGCTGAGAGGAGCAGCGGGCGAGACAGGAAAGGCCTGCAGCCACACCATGTGGGTCAGCTCCCTGGATGGGGATCGAACACATGCAGTGGCTGTGGTAGCTTCATAGTGCTGTGCCACACAAAGGGCCCCCTTTTCAGCATTTTCAAATTAAACCTGAACTTGGTTACACACATAAAAAAAAAAAAAAAAAGATTCCAACAAAGCAGCTACTTTTCAGGAGCTTTCCTATCTGGCCACAGAAAACGTCCATACCTTGGTCAGCATGGTTCTTCCGCCCATGAGGAATTCGATGAAGGGTAAGAATATATCCATCTTCTGTCTCAACTAAGTGGTCCTCACAAGGGTACCCCCAATGAGTGATAATTTCACTCTATGAGAAAAAAGAACAGTGGAAATTCTGTAAGCAGATCCCCAACACTGAGGGCCACGGAGAAGACAACATTTTAATGACAGTCATTTTTGAAGAAATTAGTAGTGATTGAAATTTCACCTGCTCATCTGTAGCCAATGTTCCATCACAAAATCCTCTTTTGTTTTTTTACGCAGGAGTTTTACTCAGAGGAATTTGGTGAGATCTCAGTTTCATCCGTCTATCATGTTCTACACCAACTGTGTCTAGTTTTACAGAGCTCTGGATCTATTCCCATCTTTTTCTTTATATTTTTCCTCAATATATCAGCTAATACTATAAACTACCACTTCACTTGTTTTATGAGGTCCTGTCCTGGAAATAAAACATAAGAAGCAACAATCCATTTTACCAATGGACTAATAAAATTCCACTAGAATGTCAAGATAGAGTTAGAGAAAAAGAAAAGAAAAATGGGGAATTAGATCACATTCTCTTCTCCATAAAGATTTGTGGGGCAACTATTAATCAGGAGTTTAGTAGGACACAGGTAACACAATAATCCAGATTTCATGGAAACAAATGCTCATTATCTCTTCTGCCATAAATACCTGAGGGAGCTTAGTCATCCTTACAGGCAAAAATTTAAAGGGGAGGAGTATAAAAGGTATGAGACAAGAAATACTACCCAACCTAACGTATCTGACATTAGGTCACACTTTCATGTCTCACTACATATCTATCCCACGCTATAAAATTGTCTAAATCTAAACTTGGGGGACTGCATTGTCTGCTTTAAAGCTGTTTTCTTCAATAACCTGTATTTTTACCCTGAGAAGGTATTCTCATATTTTATAGTCTACTTAAGATTAATGACTTCAAAATATTATAATTACTCGAGGGATTATTTTTGCTTATCAGTTCTAACAAAAATTGTCTCAGAGGTTTTCATTTTTGTATTGAACTATACTCCTTGGACACATTTAATGACAATCTTTATTCAATGTATGGATAAAGCCGTACTCAGTAGTAACATCCTTACAAAGTTTTATTTTCTGTATACAAATTCTGAGAGACTTAATAACCCAATAGAGATATAAATATCATTTATCTTAAGAAATAATATTAATAGTAAAATGAAGTTTGTAAAATATATATTACCAGGGAGGAAAGTCTTACAAAATAAATCTGAGATTCTGAGAATATGAAAAACATAATGAGATATAAAGTAATTAGTTTGTAATTTCATATAGCCACATAATGAGAGTTAAGAAAGTAACATATGTGACAGATGCAAGTTAAAAGCGGGTGGCTTTGAAAAACTCACCACATTCATATGTGTTTCAGGATCCACAGATGTCTTTTTTGCTGCCTGGGCAGACAGGATCCCAAGGACCAAGCAGACCACGAAAACCAGGAGCTGCATTTTCATTCTGCATAAAATAGTCTATTGTTATTTGGCCAAAATTTACTATACAAAGATTTGTAGGTAGATTAATGCTCCCACTGAAAGTTATGAAGCAGGTTTAGGGCAAATAAAAGATAGATGAAGGGAAAGTATAAAAGACTACAAGAAAAGAGAAAATTTTTTTTTTTATAGAAAAGCCTTCCACTGCCTCCCCCAGTTTATAAAATTCACTTGCCTCCTCACCATGAGGTTAAACAAATTGCTCCTAGAAATAACTCAAGGGAGGGTTCGGAAGAAAGAAAATTGAGAAAAAGATTTTCAAAATTCTGGATTCTGTCATTCTGCCAATTTTTTCCTCCTAATTGCAATTCAAACATGTTTAAGTTTGGCCAGGACTGGCACTCACTGGCTCCCCGTCTATTCACTTCTGCTCTGGCACAAATAACATGCCAGGACTCAGATTTATCACCCAAGGTATAAATATAAAAGGAAACCTTCAAGGGAAACAAAGGAGAAGAAGACCTCCACTGTTCTTCTGAGACTTTCCAACCATCAACAAGGGCCATCTAGCTTCTAGTGGTGATGGTACAAAATTCACAGTGAAACAAAGACCTGAAAGTTGAAGTGAAGTGACTCTTCTCAGGACATTCAGATGGTTAGAGACAAAAACCGGACACCAACCAGGCCTCCTAAACTTTTGTAAATAAATATAATCACTTTCAAAGATACATCATATATGCGCATAAAAACACACGTACAAAAAAAAAACAAATGGCCCAAAAATGTGACTAGATAATATAATATGGTATAAAAATATCACTCATTAGTAAAAAGAAATGAACACATAACAACATGTATGTATCTCCAAATCATTATCAGTGAATGCTGCTGGACCAAAAAAGATTAAGTAGGACATGATTCCATTATATAAGACTCTAGAAAATGCAAGCAAATCTCTATTGACAGAAAGCAGATCAATGTCTGCCTGGAGAGAAATGAGGCAGGAGTTAAGCATCACAAAAAGGAATAGTTATAATAATTATAATACTTTTATTATATTACATACACCCGAATAAATAACTAAGCCTGGTATTTTTTGTCAATGACACAATACAGTTGTTCTTAAGATACTTGTTAAATTAACTATTCCACAAGAATTTGATTCGCAGGAGACTGCAAATTAACTGACTGTCTTCTGTTGGTGGGATTCCTGCTGGTAGTGGAGATTCTTCCCAAGCAGTGGTGAACCTTAAACTTCTGGACAAGAGGGAATGTTATCTTGAGTCTGCATTAGCTACTTTTTTTTTTTTTAATTTATTTGTGCATACAGAACTGGGGTACAGGCCAGAGGCTCAGGGGTGGTGAGAGGATTCACCAGAGACAGAGTGGGGAACAGAACAGGCAGATCCACGAAGTACACTGCTGAGGGGAGCAGCGGGCGGATCAGGAGAGGTCTGCCACGCCATGTGGTCACCTCCGCGGCAGGCGGGAATCGAACTCATGCTGAAGCGGCTTTAGATTCTCAGTGCTGTGCTTTAACCCGCTGCGCCACCAGGGAGGGCCTGCATTGGCTACTTTTACTTACAAATTTATATTTCTTTATGGAGCTTAGGAAGGGCTGTGCAGACCTGGGCTATCATTTATCATAAATAAACATCCCAAAAGTCCATTATTACTAGAGAGTCAGAAGTAGATTTAAAAGAAAAAAAAAAAAAAAAGGTTATAAGCGCAACTGAAAAAGTGACATTTCATTAGCTGCCTAGCCTAGAATCAGGACCAGCTGTGCATAGGGGCCGATCTAAGAGAGCAACAGCTGCAGATACTCAACTGAAGATGTCACATGCTTCATTGTTCCTCCCAACACAACACCAAGAGAGTTTCTCAACCGACTAGTCAAATAATTCCCGTAAGAAGTTAAAACGCTGGGTCTGCCTTTCTGAGCTCTCAGCAACTCCAGAGTTTTTTCTATATCGTAAGAGACCTTATAAGTGCCTGTCTGGCCTGGGTTCATCCGAGTCTGAGGGAGGGGCTAACGTGTTATTCAACTTTGACCCCTTACTAGAGGCAGAATTCAGAGTTTGAGTAATGAGATAGGGTGGTACAAAAGTTCAGTGACATGAGAAAATAAAGCCCCACAGTGGCTTGTTACTTAGTTTTCTAACAATAACAATTTCGGCTCCCATTTAAGCTCTTGCCATACTCTAGACATCCCAGGCAGGGCTTTCAATATACTATGTTAATTACTCCACCAGTTTTTTTGCAGAATCCCTTTTTGTTTTCCAGGGAGCTGTGGTTCCAGTGGGTTAAGCAATGGAAGCAAAGTGCCAAATGGTTAAAAAGAATCTCAGGGACTTTGACAAGGACCCATACTGGAGTCGGCTCAAGAACGTGCCACTGGCTAAAACGTTTTAAAGGGTCCAGCAGGCTGCCTGAAAAAGCTAACGGAAACAGAGGGCAAGGAGAGAGGGGAGCTGGTAATCAGGAATTCTGGAAGTCGCCAAGTCCGGGCGCTCTAACAGGAATTCGGAGGCATCTTGGGAGGTACGGGCTATTTCGAGGAGCCCCGACTACTGCGCGGTCGACAGATGCATCGGGTCATCACCTGCAGAAGTACTCGCTGGTTCTCCAGGCAAGACACGCCAGGGGCCAAGAGCAGCGGGTGCCACGGGTCTGCAGAAGCTCAGGGGCGATGAGACAGAGAGCCGGGAACCCAAGCGCGGCCCTACCCTCGGAAGCCGCAGAGGCCGGCTGGAGCCACTGCAGCCTCCCCAAGCAGCGCAACAGGAGCCGGCACTCACCTGGAGCGCTCCTGCCCGGCTGCGGTTCGGGGCCCCAGTGCCAGCTCTCAGTCCCGCACCCAGAGTGAGGGAGGAGGGTGGGGAATCACACTCCGCTCTGGCTAGTAGCACGGCCAATCCGGGTTTCAGGCGGCCGGACAAGCCTCGGAGACTCCGCCCCAAACGAGCGGAGCATGCGCAGTGGACAGGCCGGAGAGGCTGCGGAGAGACCTCTGCTTCCAGGGCAGGGCGCCTGGGGGCAAGCATGGTGACGTGGGGACATTCGCTGCTGTGTCTGAGGAGCTCCTGCACCACCGACACCCTCTCTCTCTGCTCCTCACACACAGAACTTGGACGCTTGAAGCAAAAAAATTTCATGGTCCTTATAATGCACTTAACATGTGTCTGATGCAAAAACAGCCTTACATTTTATTCTGTAATGTACAAGCATCATTAAGACACTAGAGGTATGTGTTATGAAGAACATATATACTCATGTAATAAATGAGAAGCGGTGTTAGGAAGAACAATAAAACGGTGAAGGGGTAAAGGAGAGCGCTGAGGTGTTCTTAATGAAAATAAGTCCGTTGAAGTGACATCTGAACAAGGAGGACTCAAAGATGATTGAAAGCTGCATACATATTGGAGAAAGAGCATTCTAGGGGAAGAGAATAGTCAGTGCAAATGTCCTAAGGCACGAATATTCTGGTGGATTCTAGGCAGCAACATGAGATCCATGTGGCTGGAACTTGATGTGCTTGGTGGAGAACCGAAGTCCTAGATATTGCTGGATATTTGAGGAGCCTCGTTTAAAGACTGCTTTTTTCTTGTAACCAAGGTGGGAAAAGACATCACTAGCACAATCTAGTTCACAATTTAGAAAGGTTACTATGGTTACTATGGTTCTCGTTGGAAGAAAAAAACTAGTTAGAAAACTATTGTAGTCACCCAATATGTACATGTTAACAGTGAGAACAGTGGAAATAGAGAAAAGCAGTCAACTCTAGGTGTGATAATGAGGCCGACCCACAGGATTTACTGAATCAAATAAGGGGCCTGAGGGGGACACATGTAATGTAAGGATGTTTTAGAGCATTGGGACTACAATGAATTCAGATGGAGAACACTCAGGAAGGGTAGTTAGGGAAGTTTGTTTTGTATGTGTCCATTTTGACACTGCTGATAAAGAACTTTATCAACTAAGGCCTGGTCAGGAAACAAAACCCACTCTAGGTATTTATTCTGAACTGAGGACATGGTTATTCCTGGGATGATAAAGTTTAGGCAGGCCCCAAGGAGATTAGCAATACCAGGAAAGCCTGAGGCATTACTGGCCGTCACCAGGTTCAGTGTAGCAACAGCCTCTGCCAGAGACACTGCCCGTGCCAACCAAATTGTGGTTTTCTGTCCTTCTGTCTTCCAAATTTTCCATCAGTCCCTCCCTTGGGTCAAAAGCAGCCAGAAACTTGTGGACGCAAGAGCCTAAGAACTGCAACCTACAGTGTCAGACCCCTTGGCCTTGCACACTATGTGGAGAAGAAAAGAACAGAGACTGGATCTGGAGACAAGATGGCAAAGATCACACTAAGTGCAGTGTTCAAAGCCAAATTCCAAGCCACAGATAGAACTGGGAAATTACTGGCTTAGAGAGAGCATTTAAAGTCATAAGGCTAGATGAAGCTGCCTATAAAATAAGCATAAAATTGGCCCACCCTGGTGGTGCAGCAGGTTAAAGCACAGCAGTGCAAGCTAGCCACTTCAGTGCAAGTTCGATCCCCAGCCCCAGAGGTGACCCACATGGTGAGGCAGACCTCTCCTGACCCGCCTGCTGCTCCCCTCAGCACTGTATTTCAGAACGTCTGCCTTTTCTGCTCCCCACTCTCTGGTGAATCCTCTCACTGCCCCCACGTCTCTGGCCTTTACCCCAGTTCTGTATGCATCTTTAAAAGTAAATAAAATAAGCATAAATAACAAAGAATGTATACAGAGATTCAGAAGATATATAAAGCTGAGAAGGCAGGAAGATTGAAAGAGAATGCAGAGTGTAGTACTTGACACCAAGTGAAGAAAACAACTTTAGAAAAGAGGAAGTGATCAACCTGAGCTAATGAGAGCACTGAGAAGGGGACTTTAGGTTTAGCAACTTTTCAAACATGTTCTAAGTCCTTTACATAGAATGTCCCATTCAGTCTCAAAACATCTCCATAACCTGGATTTACAGATAAGGAAATGGATTAGAAAGATTAGGGTTAGGGCACTATAAATATATTGCCCCAAGTCACAAACATAGAAAGTAGTGAAGTCCAGAATGCCACCCAGGCAAATTAAATCTAAATTGTCATCTAACAATAAATGAAAATACAATCAACAACGTCCCTCCCTAGGTAAGGGATGCTTTCCCCTCTTCCTATTTCAGGCCATTGTAATTCAGTGACTTGACCTTAAAGAGAAGGTTTTCAGAAAGAATAGAGAAAGCTTTAAAGAAGACAGGAGATACAGGTGTGTGTGTGTGTGTACACATACACACACACACACATATGTATATCCCCTATACACACACACATGTGGAGAGAGAGAGGCTTTATAAACCAGATTGGTGGGACAAGACTGAAACAACAATATTAAATAACAATTCTACTTCCAAACAAGGTATGATAACAATGGCCAGATTTACTCTCCCACCTTAAACTACTTGGTGGGGGGAGGGAGAACATGAACCGGTGGTGTCAGACACTGGACAACAATTCCTGAAAAATAGGAGTGTAGTTGAAGTGAGTCCTACAACTGGCCAAACAACTGCCTGGGGAGAATCACCCAGCCATAGTTCAGGAAGAGAGAAACCTGGGCAAGATTCAGGAGTTACTCTGGATGGAAGCTACAAATGAGAAGAACTGAGGAAGCCTAAGGCAGTAGAGTTTACAGCTCAGAGTAATAGAATGGGAATAGTTGCAGAGAGAGAGCAGGTTGTGAAGATCCACAAAGGGTCCCCTTTGGTCTTGTGCTACGTACCAACTGTAACTTAGACTAGAAACTGCATTAGACCAGAGAAAGAACCACCTGAAGGGAATAAAGGGGAATTCCCAGTTCATTGAGAACTGGGGATAGACTACCAACCAGAGAGGGAAAACCCAGTAATATACAAGGTCCTTAAATACACTGAGAAGGACTAATAATTATAATGGCTTTTTTTTTAAATACTGGCTTTTAATGTTTTGATTTTTATTTCCAGAAAGCTTCCTTTTAAGCTGTGTTGTTACCTATACTAATGGCATTTGCATCTTTCTATGAATAAGCTGGAATTTCTGCTTTTCTCTCTCTCATCCCAAAATGTAAAAAATTTACAGTGAACATTCATATTTCTCATGAGAAAATGTCTAGCTTTGCATAACCTTAACAGGAAGTTTCATTTGTCTTTCAAGTGAGAGAACCGTCAGCATGTTTTGTGACATGGCTTAGATTGAAATTCTTTTAAGAGTTAAATTTGAGCTGAGCCAAGAAGTGCCTGCTACTTTGCTTATAGGGTTCCAAAGACCTCTAAGGAATGTGGAGAAACTTGGTGCACTGGCAGGGCTAGAAAATCCTAGAGAAAAAACCCTGGGAACCTTGAAATGAGGAAATCTCAAAGAGTATGGTTAAAACCATGGCCTTGATCCTGAAGCTTGAACAAACCAGATGTTGAAAGCTAATGTTAAGCTTTGATGAAGCACTCATACAAAATGCAGAATTTCTAAGCAAAATTGAAACAAACCTAATTCAAGAATACATTAAAACAATCATACATCATCCCTTTATCTAACAAAATGGGATTTACCTCAGGGATACAAAGATATTTTAACATACCTAAATTAATTAATGTGATTCACCACATCCATAAAAAGATAATATGATTATATCAATAGATGCAAAAAAGGCATTTGACAAGATTCAACTCCATTTATGATGAAAACTTTCAAAAAATGGGTGCAAAAGAAATGCACCTCAACAAACCCATAGTTACCATCATATCAAATAGTGAAAAACTGAAAACTACTTCTAAGATCATATAAAGACAAAGATGTACAGTATTACTATTAATATTCAACAGAGTATTAAAAGTCCTAGCTGGATCAATTAAACAAAATAAATACAAGGTATCCAAACTGGGAAAGAAAGAAAACTGTTAGTATTTCCACATAACCTGATAGTATATATAGAAAACCCTGTTAGAAATGAGAAATCAACAGAGTTATATGGCAGGCTACAAAATCAATATAAAAAAAATCTGTTGCCATCATATATGCAAAGAATGACCTAGAAGAAAATAAAATCAAGAAAATAACCCCATTTATAATCACACCAAAAAGAATTATTTACCTAGGAATAAGTAAACAAAACAAAGTGAAAGATCTAAATAATGAAAGTTATGTCCCACCTTAAAGAATTGGAAAAAGAACAACAAAATAACCCAAAAGCCAGCAGAAGACAAGAAATAACAAAAATCAAATCAGAAATAAATGAAACGGAAGTTAGGAAAACAGTCCAAAAAATCAATGAAACCAAAAGTTGGTTCTTCGAAAAAATAAACAAGATAGACAGGCCACTAGCCAGACTCACAAAGAAAAAACAAGAGAAAGCACAAAAAACCAGAATCATAAATGAAAAAGTAGAAATCACAACAGACCCACAGAAATCAAAAGAATAATAAGAGAATACTATGAACAACTACATGCAAACAAGTTCGATGATTTAGCAGAAATGGACAAATTCCTACAACTCTACAACCACCCAAAGTTAGATAAAGAAGAAATAAAACAACTAAACAGGCCAATGACAAGCAAGGAAATAGAAGTAATCAAAACCCTCCCCAAAAAGAAAAGTCCAGGACCAGATGGATTTACAAATGAATTCTACCAAACATTCAGAAAAGAACTAGTGCCTATTCCACACAGACTAGTTCAAAAAATCAAAAAAGAAGGAAAATTACCACAAACGTTCTATGAAGCCAACATCACACTAATAACAAAACCTAGCAAAGAAAACATAAAAAAAGAAAACTACAGACCAATCTCCCTAATGGACACTGATGCAAAAATCCTGAACAAAATCTTAGCTAACAGAATCCAGCAATGCATTAAAAGAATAATACACCACGACCAAGTGGGCT